GGGTTGAGTCACCCACCCCCAAGCCCTGGCTTATACGCAAATGTGCTAACTCGTTCTTTTTTCCTTCCTTCTCCTTTCGCCCAGTATTGGAAATACAAATTCCGCAATACCACGCTCAATGGCACTGATCCGGATGAGGAACTCACGCCTCTGCAGAAGAGTTTCACCTGTGATTTGGCCCTCACGGCCACTATCGCTGGCACGACCTTCCTGCTGCTCAATGCCATTTATGGCAATCGGATATCGCTGAGGGTCAAAATGCTGAGCACATTGTCGTGCATTCTCGTGCTGTTTGGCGTCACGACGGGCTTTGTGGAGGTGAACACGGATGCCTGGCAGGAGCAGTTCTTTCTGATTACACTGATCATTGTGGTTCTCCTAAACTGTGAGTGGGATCTGCATCACTTTTCATATTTATTTGTAATTAATAACTCTTTTTGCAGCCGCTGCGGCCACCATGTCGGGCGCTCTTTACGGCATTGCCGGACTGTTCCCCTCGGAGTTCATCACAGCCGTCGTCAGTGGACAGGCCTTGGGCGGTATTCTCACCGCTCTGGCCTTCATCCTGGTGCTAGCTTTTGACACGGGCCCCAACACGACGGCTTTTATATTCTTTATCGTGGGTTCAGTGCTCATCCTGCTCTGCATTGTCTGTTACAAGATACTGGTGCGAAAGCCGTTCTTCAAGTATTATCTGGAAGGCGGCGACAAGTACAAGGTGATAAGTGCCATACCCTCGCACAGCCGCAACGAGGAGACGGAGGGCGTGACACTTGAGCCGATTATGCGGAAAGTTATGACTAAAATATATCTGCACGCCGTCTGCCTGGCTCTGCTCTACACGACCACGCTGTCCGTCTATCCAGCGGTGACGGTGCTGATGCAGTCCGAGCACTCTGCCAGCCACACCGAATGGACGGGTAAGTAACACATAAACTCTCTCTTATTGGTTGCTAAAATTGCTTCCCTTTAGATGTCTACTACCTGCCCGTGGTCAACTATTTGATCTTCAACTGCGGCGACTACTTTGGACGGCTCCTCGCTGGCTGGCTGGAGCGTCCCATCAATCAGAACACCTCACTGCTGCTGATTGTTTTGCGAATGATCTTTGTTCCGTTCTTCTTGTTCTCCAACACCAGTGAGCACATCTTCCTGCCTACTCTGGTGGAGCACGATTACACATTCATCGCTATGATGTGCGTGTTTGCCCTGTCCAATGGATATTTGACCAATATCCTGCTCATCATGGCGCCCAGGTTGGTACTCTAAACTATTCGACAGCAGTTCCAATGAGTAGATTGCAAGCTACGCCATTCCGTCGCAAATTCGCTTTTTTAAATGCGAACTGAATTGCCATGTTATCGGCATACCCAGCACGCGGCGTAGCTGCATTCTACAGAAGCTTTAGTGATAATTTCGCCCCACTGCATTTGCTCCCCAGAGAGAGTACTAATCATATGTTTTAAACATTACAGAAGCGTCAAGCAGCACGAGAAAGAGTTGGCGTCCTCGATTATGGCTGCTGCTCTGAGTGTTGGCATGGCAGTGGGCTCCCTGCTGAGTCTCTGTTTCGTGCAGATGTTGTGACCTGTTGGACCCACGATCTATGAGCAAATTTAGTTGTCAATGGTGCCTTAGCTAATTCTATTCATAAGTTGTATGCTTTTATGTTACCTGATCTTTTTCTCTTCGTTATTGTTAAGCATTTAGGTCAAGACATTGTCCTGTCCCGCTTCGATTTCGAATCGTTTTTGTGATCGTCTTAGTAGCTCCCAAATTCGCCACATATCTGAGAGATTCTTTTATATCACATGTACACATAACATTTAGCTGGTAAGTTGTAATTGTTTGAATAGCGAGACCTAGAAATACAACTTTTAAAACACTTTTTAAACAAACTCAAGTCGAGGGGAAATATTTTCTCTTGGTTTAACGTTTATTTTTGTAGTTTTCTGCAGATCACAACAACAATGTGGATAAGGTTAATTGTTTTATGCTTTTGACATTATTCATTGTTTTTTGTTTTGTTTAACTAATGAACTCCATTGTAAACACACTGACTTGCTTTAATTGCATTGATTTAAGAATTTACAGATTTGTATTTAAATTGTTGTCCAATTTCATTGGACGCCCTGTGCCGCTTCGCTTCTCCAGTTCGCCTGATCTGGTTTTATATTCCAAAATGGTTCCTATCCGATCTACATTTGAAATATATACGAGTTTGGAAAAGTATATTCTTCCCGGAATTTGTTTCAACAAAGTCTAAAATCGTTTTTCTTAATGTCAATCTGGTTTTCAACGATTGAGTACATTTTGCGGATCACTAGGAGGTCTGGCTTGCCCGGAACGGATGAACAAGCGTTTACAAAATAGCATTAAAAAGGCTTCATCCTCAGTGTCGTTTCTACCATTGTGACTCCCAACAAATAAGGGACACTCTCCTGATAACGAGATCACCATCACCTGCTGATCGGACATACAATGGCGAAGTTATGAAACATTTAACACAACTTCTGCATGGCCGATTTGGGTGGCACATGGCCCCAAAAATAAATGATTGAAAGTAACGCTACCATTTTGTTTTGTCTTTTCTCCGCTAATTGTGGTCCGATCAGGGCATGCCGCAGCTTCATTTGATGGAAAGAAAATGCTTGATTTGATAGCTCTTGATTTGGACCAAGAATTTGCTTATTCCCCGGTCATATATAAGACTTTTTCTGCTTTATTCCGAACCGATTTGCCCTAGTTATGATTTCCTGTATTTGTAGACCCTTGTCTCTCGGTTGATCTGTTCCTGACTATGCTGACTTTTGGGCACAGAGCGTTTTGTTTTGCTTGGAAACACACATATTGGTTTTATGGAATGATATCATATCCTTTTTTGGGGTCTTTGGGTGAATACCATATTAAATTCTTGCTAACATCAAGAGAGATTGTTTTGTCGGTAAACGTCTTATAAGTGCCTTGGCAATATTATTGCAACAATGGGGATTCCGCTCAATACATCTGAGTATGTACGTATGTATATTTATATATAACTCTAGGGTGTCTAAACATTTATTTAACTAGTTTAGGTTTAAGTTTAAGGGCTTCTTTTAGGCAACAACAAATTCGTCAGTTGCGCTGTCCAAAAATTTCCATTTGCTATTTAGGGCCTAAATTTGGGTTTTTCTTTTCTCTTTTCTCTTTCCATTCCTTACGATGCATTCCTCTTCATGCAATCTACTTCGTTTTTGCTCTACCTTTTATCTGTCTGTTTATCAGTTTTTTGCTTGGTGTTTAACACCGCATTTTGCTTTTCAATTTAAATCTCAATTTTCGTATAAGTTTAATGTTTACTTGTTTAATGTTCTCTTTGTTTATTTATAACTTAGTTTAACAAACAAACACACACACATGAACAACAAACATTGATTAAAGCCTTGGCATTGCAGAAGTTTGGGGTTGTGGGGTGTTCTTGGGTCGCATGCAAAAGATAAAGATTAATCGGCAACTACAACAACAACGATAAGGATAAGGATAACGATAACGATAACGATTATACGATAATGGGCACTGGGCGAACAACATCGACAGCACACAGAAGTACATTACGGAGATGCAAAGATACAGTTGATAGAGTATAATGCTTACACGTAGTACAACACCAAAACTATTTTCGAATTATTTTCTGCTGAGCTGAGTAATTCTATTAATTCTATATGCACTGCTTGCTACATGTATGCGCTATGCTGCTTGCTGTATTGGATTAATCGAGCCAATTATATGTAGATACAATTACGATAGACACCGATTGAGAGTAGACAACGCGATAGACGATAGACGAACACCACTACCGATGGCATTCGATCGTAGAACAGACACACACTTAGATACAGTTTAGTGGCTTTATACCAATTCTCTGGTTATTGCTTGCTTTGTGGAACAATACGATCGATTCTTACTATGAAAAAACTACGAGACACACATTTAAAAATTCAATTACAACATCAACTTGGGATAGACACATTTAGATATCGCCAGAGAGACAGCGAAAGAGAGACTCTCGCTCAGTCCAGGCTGTTGGGGAAAGATCTTGATAGTCGATTCTTGAGTTATGGGAAAAATTACAACATCTAAGGTGGTTCTGCCGTCCAGTGAAATGTTTTACTCTTTCAACTTTTGTGTTTTGATTTATCTCATAGTGTTTTTGCTAAGAATTATGTACTTTTTCTTTGGTATCGTATCTTTTTTTCGGGATAGGGTCTTATGTGTTTGGGTATGCTGAATTTTGGATTTCGTTACAAGGCAGCTTGGGTAAGTTTTTCGTTTTTTTTTTTTTGATTCCAATATTTTTACTATTCCTTTCTTTTTGATTGGTGTTCCGTGTTTACCTAGAAGAGGGGTGTCTAGTGTCTAGTCTGTTCTGGTCTACAACAAAGGTTAAATATACTCGTAAATGTTTGCATATTTTATTGTTTGATTGTCTTGAGGCTTTGTTGTTCCTTTTGGTATTAATATATTTTATGTTTTTTTTTGGTGTTGTAGGTTGTGCGTCGTCTGTGTGTGTATAATGTGTATGCGTAGAAAAATGAACATAAATAAGAACAAACTTAAATATTTAAAGTTTTGGTGCGAAACAATTCTTTAGCGAATTTTATTGTAGTTTTTCCTCGAACGTAAGCTTAGTGACTGAGGTGGAGAAACAAACGTTAATAAATAGCAACCAACCAATGTAAAAATATATAATATAATTGACTAAAATTGTTGCTGCTTTCTGCTGCTGCTGCTGTGCGCACGAGATTCATTCCAGCCGAAACGAGAGCTTAAACTGAATTAAACTTAATTATAACTGATGTAAAGGAGTAATACACACAACCACATTTTAGCATTTAGAAAATGGAGCACTTTGACGCGATGCAGACAACCCCCGCCGAACCCTAGCTCTCCCCCTGCTGCATCGCCTTAGTCTGCTTTGACCCACAAAATAAATTATACTTAAGATTCTGTTTTAGTTTAGTTTGTTTTCCCTGCTTAACACTTAGACACTCAGCGAGTTGTGCGGCAAAGTTCGAGTAGGAAGAAACCGTACGGCTCGGGTCTTCACGTTCCATAGATATCCATAGATATCCATAGATATCCATCCATGCATTAGGTATAGATCGATAGTTACAGTACAGTTATATAGATACACAATTAACAGTTACACTACAAATACATCCATCGCACATGCGTTTTACATTCTAATTTGTTCAGTATGAAAAAAGCGATTCCAGGGCTTTAGGCTTTAGGATTTAGTGGCCCTAAGATCTAAGGTAGAGTCGAGGTTGAGTTCCCGTCGAAAAGTAGCTTTTTGTTTTACGTTTTTAGCTTAAGAACTACGAAGACTTTTTTGTTTTCCTGTCGCGAATACTGAAGACCGACTGTAGAAGAACTAAAGAACCATCTTGAAGACTTTCGTATCACGTTTACGTCTTCATTTCCGTTGCCGCGGAGATGCTGTGGTGTGACCTGGCCGGCGACACGGAGGAGAGTCCACCTGCTGCACCGGCATCCAGATTCAGTGTGAGATTATTGCCCGAAATGGCTGAGGAGCCGGAGCCCGAGCAGCCATGATGATGCGGTCCATGGAAGAGCACCAGGAAGCCATTGTTTGAGACGCAGCTGCGAGATTCTGCATCCTTGTCGAGTATTTGACGGGCCTGCGAATCAGAGAAGATTGCTTAACGTCACCTTAAGAATGTGTAAAACTGTGCACCCACCTTGGCGCGATGATCGGCGAGTGCATTGCGCACTGAATCGTGTTGCTTCTGCAGGTCATCCGTGCGCCTGTCGAAGGTTTGCTTCAGACGCACTCGCTCAGCCACGCCACGCTCCACCACAGAGCTGGCCACCTCGCGTTTCATTCTGCCAGCAAAGAGGAGATTAGTAGAGTAAATTCAGGACCAATTCTCAGTGGCTACCCACCTAACCAACTCATCCCGATCCCTGTGCACAGTGGCCAGATTCTTGACCTCGTTGCGTCGTGCCTCCTGCAGCTGATGCATCACCTCGCCCGTGACCTTGTCCAGCGATGCCTTCAGCTGCTTCATCTGCCCGGTCTGGGAGGTCTTCAGCACCTTCTCGGCTGCGGTGTAGATGGCCTCGTGATACTTCTCCTGCAGCTCACGATACTGGGCCGTGTACTCGCGGCAGGCGCTGCGCAGGCGCGACTCTTGGGTGCCCTCGAGGGTGCTGCCACCGGCGCCCGACTCCTCGCCAGCATCAGCCCCTCCAGCGCTCTCCTCGCTGCTGTCGCCTAGATCCAGGGGGCAGGCGGGCACCTCCACGCCCGGTTCGCTGTTTGGAGAGAGACAATTACTAATTTCAACGGCGTCGTCTGGCAGTGGCAACCTTCCCACATCAAATCCCGCCGCACACTTACAGACTCTTGTTGCTCAGCCGCTTCACCAGCTTATTGGTGATGGCAAACTTCGGCTTCTTGCCCTCCAGGGGGCTGCTCTTCTGCCCGGCAATCTTGAGCTTCTCCTTGTCGTGCTTCTTGCGCAGCGACTCCAACTTCTTCTCCATCTCCAGGCGCTTCTCCTTCACGGACTTGTGGTCGAGCAGCTTTTCGAGCGGCTCCGCCACCACGGGATCCACATCGAACTGCGAGGACTCCACCTGCCTGATGGATGTGCTCACGGACTGGTCCAGCGAGTGCTGATGCTGGATGCTGGGCGCCATGATCGATTCGCTGTCATCGCCCGCGCCACGCCCCAGACCACCGCCGCCATCGGTGCGGTCGGTGGGCGGCTCCACGCTCCAGGCAGCCGCCGCGGAGATGCTCGCTCGATGCTTGGGCGAGGTGGCAAGCGACTCCACGGGACGCAGCTCCTTTTTCTGGCCACCTACTTGAACGAAAACGACTGGAGGATCAGCGAGAGAAACGAGCAGGAAGGCACAGAGAGAGAGAGAGAGAGAGAGAGAGAGATACGGGGAGGGAGTGTGGATTGGGTGGGTGTGTTTTTCCAGCAACCAAATTGTGTGCGGGTGTGGGAGGGGTTGAGGGGGTGGTGCATGGTGTTGTTGTTGTTGTTGTTGTTGTTGTTTAACCAAATCCAAAATATCCGAAAAGAGTTTTAAACCCAAAGTTTTTGTTGTACAAAAAAAGAAAAAAAGGTAGAAAGAAAAGAAAGTCAAATTAAAATCTCAACTCGTTGAGGTGGTGCAAAGTGGTTCGGAGCTACTGGTGGTGCTACTACTACTACGAGTATTTCTACAGCCAACACAGCTACAATTCTGAGTCCAGCAGCCAGAATCTACTCACACGACTTGGACAAATCTTCATCGGCGCTGACCAGAGCATCCGTCTCGTCCGTCAGCACCGACAGCTGCATGTCCCGCTTCTCCCGCTCGCTCTGGTACTTGATGGGATTGGCCAGCGCCTCGGCAAAGTCGGACAGGCCGTGCGGCACGTAGTCCTTGACCACCACGCACAGGAAGAGCGAGGCCAGGGCAATGGGTTGGCCCACCTCGGAGCGCAGATTCACATGTCGATAGCCCGGACACAGGCCAATCACGGGCAGCACACGATGGCCAATCAGCTTGCCACCCTCCTCATAGGCGGCGATCCTGATGCTCGCCAGCTCGGGCAGCACCACCTTCTTGAAGACAAACGGCTCCTCATCGTACACGGGATTCATGCCATTGTCGCGCACTGTCTTGGTGCGGAATCTCTTGCGCACTGTGTCCGCCGGCAGGCCGTACATTTCCACCTCCACAAAGGTGTTGACACGCTTGTCCGTGAGGAATTGCCCGGAGAGCACTTGGATCGACACCGTGCCCGCTATGATGCCATCCACAGTGCTCTCGGCAAAGGGATCCAGCCTGCGATCGGAGCGTCGCATAAACTCGGGCTTCAGCAGATAGCCAGACCTGGCGTTGTACTCAAAGATGCCCAAATTCAGTTGCATGGCGAGGTCTAGGGTTTGGAAATTGAGCGCCACCAGCTGACAGCCTGCGTTCCAGAAGAGCTGCGGCATAAAGTTGGAGCTGTCGAAGCGTGTGCCCGCGGGATAGACCCTGGACAGCTGATGCTTGTTGTAGTTGACAAACTCAATGGGTCGCTCCTTCAGCAGCGTTGTGGCTTGCTTCTCATCGAACGAGGACATCTCGTAGCAGCGATTTTTCTCTACCAAAAGAAAGGGCAGACCATTAGCTCAGAGATCTTAGATGTGTCACTCTGCGGACTCACTTTCTGCATTCTCGAATGAGCTGAAATGTATGGGCTGCACATAGTTGACCAACGCTGAGATCTCTGCACCCGCTTCGGTTTCCTTTTGCGCCTTCTCCGGCGGCGGTTCATTGCCGCTGGGTGGATTCGGTGTGGTATTGGGCAGGGATTCATCGTCTGAGGAGCTATCCGAGTCCGAGGAGCCAGTGCTGTCCTTCGAGCTTTGTCGTATTTGCTGCCAAAGAGTGACAGGGTAAAGAGATATGAGAGATGGTTGCTGGCTAATCTTTTTGTTTGCTATAGGAGGAGCAGCTCCTCGTGCATGGAACCACGCGGAACTATTAAATTGCATGTCACACAGGGACAGAGAGCATGTAGAATGTTGAATGTTGAATGGAAAATGGTGAATGGTGAATGTTGAATGGGGAGGAACAGCAGCAGTGGGAATATGAAACCCATTATTATGTTCTGTGTGTGTTGTTATCGCTGGCACACGTCCCTCTGCATCCCTCCATGCACCGCCAGATAATGCAAATGCAAGGCAAGAAAATGGCGCACATTGTGTTTCCTGCTGCTGTCATTGTTTGCCCTGCCCTGCCCTTTCCATTGAATCACGTCACTTGCGAATCGATTTATAAGAGCCACACAATGCACACAGACAGACAGAGGGAGTGAGCCAGGATAATGTTCGAGAGGAATCCAGCTGGATGCTTGCTCCCTGATGCCACACAAAACCGCTTCTCTCTCTCTCTCTCTCTGTGTGTCCCTGGTGACTAATGAGCCCGAAATGCATGTGGCACATTCGATTCCATTAGCGCAAACTTTACAGCCATGCAACGCACATTAAACCCAGCTAAAATATCATAAATTTGAATGCCAATCAAATTAAAATGCATAAATGGAAATGTCGCCCCAAAGCAACTTTTCGGGGCAGCAACAATTAGTTTGGGTCGAAAGGGTTGCGGGCGCTTGGGGCTACAATTTTGATTACTGCAAAGTGGAATGTTGTTCCAGGGAGTTGGGGTTGTGTGTGTGCTCTGCGTATCATGTGTCAAGGAAGGAGCTTGACCAGTGACCAGTTCCATAGTTAACAGTTCGTTGACTGTGGTGTCGGTCAGCCAGCAGGAGCCAGCGCATTCACTCAGGCAACATTTCACTCCATTCATTTAGCAAGCTTTGTGGCTCTTTGTGCTTTTTGTACCCTTTTGCAAGAGGAGGGTATGATGTTTGCCACAGAGTTTTGACTGCAGCAAGTGGCAGGGTTTTTCCCACAACTGCCAGAGCTGTGCATCCTGCAGGGCATCTAATCTTCGCTCAGGCATTTCCCTTTTAGTTGCATTCTGTCATCAGTTGGATGATTGTTGGAATGCAAACAGAGGCAGAGACAAGCCTCCTGCAACAACTACAAATCAACCGAGTCAACAAGGCGCCACAGCTCGTGTGTTGCGTGTCATTAAATGCAATTACAACAGACACGCCAACGCCCACAAATAATACATGCCACATCCCACATTCTCCTCCCCTTTACTCACTTGCAGTGGCGGGGCATGTCCTCCGGCTCCTGTCGAAATGTCACCGTTGGCGGCGCGCACGGTCGCTGCACCTCCCTCCTCCTGATGGGCGGCGGCTGCTGCTGCCACTTGTTGCGCCGCTGCTGCTGCAGACGCTGCCTTGGCCGCCGCATCAACTGTTTACAAAAAGGGATATAAGTTTCGCTTGAAAATTAAGTTATGAGCGCGAAAATGAACGCGAAATGCTTTCAAAAAACAGTTTCGCCTTAATGGAATATAGTAAAAAAAAAGGGAAAATAAATATAAATTATATTATGGAATGGCAAAAGGGAGAAGGGACAGGGAGCGGGAGAGAGCGCTGCCGGCAAATGGCTGAACTGGGATCCCTTGTGGGATCGTTGCAGCCAGCAGCCTTGGGGGCAAAAGTCGTTTGCATTTATAAATTGGCTTTTTGCAATTCATGAGCTAAAATGTCATCCGGGCCAATGGGAGTAGCGGGGGGACACGGACATGGGTGTGTCTGCGTGGCTGTCCCTCAGCCTGGGCGGGCTCCTGTGTAAATGGTGCAGCTGTGCATGCAAATGTTCCCGCCAGGACCTCATTCACACAGGAAGCATGAGGCAGGAAGCAAGTGGCCTGCCTGCCAGCAAATGCATAAACAGAATTATAATAAAATGGCTTGCCGGCAGAGGAGGAGTGGAAATACACTTTCAAGAGGTGTTTGGGGTGAGCAAAAAAAAAAAAACTGGCAACATTCTGCCATGAAATTGGATTGGAAATGCATTCATTGGTAGAACTTCTGCTCTGCTCTGGCCTGCAGCTCCTTCCACGCTGGCTAGGGATTGGAAAAAATTGCGTTACACTTTCCAAAGGGGTTTCTACTGGTTGAGTGGAGCTTCGATACTCGATCGAAGCGAAGAGGGAAAAAAGTAAGCAAGAAAATGCCAACACTTTTAGCCAGGAAATTGAAGTGGAAGTTTGCCCATCAAGCTCTACAGGCTGCCTGCTACAAGAAATTATGTGCAGGGGGAATAGGAGTTCCCCAGGTTAAGGTTAAGCAGATACCCTGTAGGGCATGGCGTTAATAATTTACTTGCAAAAATAGCAGAAATTTCTTTTATAAATTCTTTTTATAGCAAAACTTTTGCCTAGAGCAGCGCATTGTCTCTCTAGACTTTTATCGGAATACTGTGAACTGGAACTTGGATTCAAATGATTGTAGGACGTACTATATCCCTGGCAAACTCTCCTTGAAGCTGGTTCGCCAGCTCTTTCATCAATTTTAGATTCCTAGAACTTTCATCTAATTCTTCTTCTGGGCTTCCCTTCATTAGACGTTTGCCTACTTTCAATTCCAGCTCCATCTCTGTGGAACATTTCATCAAAATGTATATGCAGCATCACTCACATTACCACAGATACCTCCCAGTCTCACTCTCCCTTCTTACTTTAAACTTTGTCGAGCAAAGGAAAAAAAAAGAAGCCCCTGAGCAAGCAGCAGCTGGTGCGTGTGCGGAGCTCATTTGCATTTTTCATGGAGCATGGAAACATGAGAACTCTGCCGGAGGTAAGCAGGTTGCCAGGCAGGAAGGAAGTTCTCTGGTCTCTCTCGCTGTACCATATGTGGCAGTGGCAATGGCAGTGGCAGTGGCAGCGGCGACTCCACAGAGAGAAGAGCGCTGGGAACACTCACCTGAATTGGCGGTCATCAGTTTGTTGCTGGCTGCTGGTGTGCCCACCGACTGCGATGGCTTCTTGTGGTGATGATGATGATGATGATGGTGATGCTTCTTCTTGTTCTTAATGATGATCTTGCGCCGCAGCGCCGCCGGCGGTGGCAGATCCGTATTCGGCTCCAACGGATGCGAATCGAGCGGCTTATCAAGCAGCATATCGCCAAAGATTTCGCGGCAATAGTTCGCGATTTTTGCCTGTCCAGAAAAGAGGCAAAGGAAAAGCGATTGTTAAGTATGTGGCAACTGTGGCAGTTAGCCAGCCATAAATCCCCACACTCATTCGTGCCACATGCCACTGTTTTGTACGTGCCTGTACACCTGTGCCTCCCAGTGGGAAATTTAGTTTATATTACTACTTTTAATGGTTAAAGTTTATCCGCAAGCAGGCCGCTGGCACTCTCCACTCTCCACTCTCCTCTTTGCTCTTGGCACTCCGCAGCGCCGTTAAAAGTTTGCCTTTGTTATTATCTCTCGAGAGGAGCAGGCAGCCAGGAGGAGCGAGAAATGAAGCTTAAGCAGCGAGCAATTACCTTTAGAGTGGCTTCTGAGATTCGCTGCTTGTCCCTGCCTTCCCCCCAGCAGTTGCCGCCAGAACTCCCTCATGTGTGGGCCTGGGCCTTTTCTTACTGCCGAATGATGGATTAGGCTGATGAGTGACGGGGGACACAAGGACACGAACTCATTCCTGTTGTTGTTTTAGGACTGCTAACTTTTGGCCTTTCACCTTTTTTTGTTTGCTACTTCTTGTTCCCAACTTAAATTAATTTTCGCTGCCCCTTTGCTGTTTGCTTTTTGGCTCACCTGCTGCCTGGGATTGCAGTGATTCTCAAAGCTCAATATCACAGGGTATTCGGATGTCTTAAATGCACTCTCTGCGATGGCCTCCAGCACGTCCTTGGCAAAGATTTCGGGCACAAATGTATAGCCATGCACAATGACGGGCTCCTCGGTGCGTCCATTCCAAAAGTCAAGCTCCACGCATCTGTGCGGAGAGAGGGGAAAGTAGAGAAAGGCAGGAGCAAGTGTTATTTAAGTGTGCATAAAAGTAAATGACAATTTCCTCAACAGCGACACAAGCGCCATAAAAAAGTGACAAGTGCAGCGGCGAGCAGCGGAGGAGCAGCCAAAGAGGAGTAATAATTTGTGGTTGAATGCACTTTGTGATGTGTGTGCAACATCAGCAGCAGGAGGGAGGAGGAGTAAGAGTGGCAGTGGGAGTGGGAGTGGGAGTGGGAGAAGGAGTACTAAGAGGGGTAGGACTGGGACCCGTTCAAGCTGCACCTGGCACATGTCAGAGAAAGAAATTAAGACAGAGATTGAGAGAGACTTTCTTGCTTTTTTGAATGCAAAGGTCATGCTTCATTCCCTTTGTATCTCTCCCCTCCGGTCGGTCAGGGCCACCAGCAACGAGAGAACTGCTTCAGAGAACCCTTCGAAAACTCACCTGCAGCCAGCGAGCAGGCACTGCCTGTATATCTCCACCGAGGACTTGCCCGTCAGCTGGTGTCCCGTGAGATAAGTGTTGTGCGAGGAGTTGATGAAATAATGCGACATTGGCTGATCCATGTCGTCGCAGAGATCCAGCTTGTTGGGCGCCATAATGGGATTGTCATCGCCCATGAGGTACCTTTTTGTTGTTGAGAGAAACGAGAAAGGAATTAGCACAGGGCAATGAGCTGCACATGACAGCGGGCGAGTGTGTCCTTGCAACAGCAGCAGCAGCAGCAGCAGCAGCAGCAGCGGCAGCAGCGCGCTAAAAGCCCACTTGAAGCATCAACAACAGCAACGTCAGTTGCATATTCATATGTGGAGGAGCAGGCGGCTCCTGAGTGGACCTTCAAGTGACTCGAGCAGCAGCCTGATAAGCTGTCACGCGCAGCCACTTGAGTGTGCAACAAGTAAGCGACCGTCCTGCCACTCACCTCAAAAAGCCATCCAGGCTGAGTTGTCCCTTTTGGGCATTGAATTTATTTGGCTCGTACTGCTGGATGAGCTCCTTGGCGCGCGCAGGATTCGCATATGGATAGAGTATCTCGTTGAGGCGCGGATCTCGCTGCGTTTTGTTCAGAAATTCCACCAGCTGGGGTATGGACATGCATTTGCGCTTCGAGACGCCCACGCTGCAAGGATAAACCAGAAACAAATTAATAGAGGGGAAGGCGCTCAAGGACTCCACCACTTACATGCTGTCAAATAACACCTCAACTTCGGAGCGCTGCGTCAGATATTTGTAGAGATTGTAAAAGTCTTCAAATTGAAATTTGGACACCGATATGCTGTCGCCCTTGCCCGAGGGCAGACCGGTCACGTCCAGCGCCTTCTCGACACGCTTGCGATCCTCCTTGTTCTGGGCAAAAAGTTTAATGATGCTAAAGTGGTCACGACCACACAGCAGAAGCAAAGGCAGGAGCCAGCCAGCCAAAACCAGGCGATGGTCCACGTGGGGCAGGAGAAAGCGAGGAGGAAAAAAGGGGAAATTGGCGTAAATTTCAATTTTCAAGTCGTTGGGCTACACTTGACAAATATTTGTCAAATGCTTCAACGCACAATGCACAAAAGGCACAGACCCTGGAAGGGCCAGGCAGCCCCAGGAAAACCCATGGAAAATGTGAGCCCAAAAGTGGGCCTTGGGTCTCCTGGCTCTCGCGGGGTTCTCCTGGGTGCCTCCTGGCTGAGCTCGAACAATAGTCAATTACTTTTTCACTGGTATGCGGCCACTCTTGTCCACCTGCAGACACAGACGAGTGTGGGCCTTCTGCAGGAACATAATCGCCGAGCCGTTCAGCTGCGCCAGGCTGTAGGCCAGCTTGATGAGTCCGTCACACCACAGCTACAAAAGAGAACGAGAGAAAAAGAGAGAATGCCAAATGGAAAGTCAGTCAAAGGTTCCAGCAGGTACAGGTGCAGACAGGTCGGACTATCCCTGACTTTGACATTTATTAGGGAATTGTTAAGTAAAAACTACAAGCCCCAATGTGCTGTCAGCCACTGCGTATGCGTAATGTTTGTGTCATTAGGAAATACATTGAAACAGAGTTTAATGCTGAAGAAATGTCATGGCATAATCGCTGAGAGCAAAAACCACTCGAAAGCTGTTGTCATACGCTGCGTATGCGTAATATGTGCATGCAGATATCTCCAACTGACATTGTAAGTGCAATAAACGCGTGGCAAGCATTAGATTGCGATTGCAAGCTCAACATTAAATGCTGTCATACCTGACGTATGCCTAATACTACAAGATAAACTAAAGATTTATAAACTAAGCTAAAGTGAACAAATAACCCTTTAAAGACAGCTCCACCATTGCTCCGCACCTTTGATGTTGTCATCATATTTTCATAAATACATATATCTGCCCTCATGGACATTGATTAATCTAGATAACTATAGTGTTTAGCTCATGTCAAAGGAATTTCCATGAATATATTGCCGTTTTTGGGTGCCTTTGCGTGATATATGCCACGATTGAGTGGACTTCAGGGACACAGAACACAGGCACAGCCACAGCCACAGTCCCTGGTCTATCACACACACACAGGAAATTTCGTTCCATTTATGCGAATGGAGACCATGGACACCAGCCATATCCATATTTATGACCATCACGAGCCCCACTATCCTCCCGAAAATGTTTATTTATTTTGTGTTTGATTATTTTTGCAGGCATTCCTTTTGAAAAGTTGATGAAAATTTTGGCAAGCTCGTATCTGCAGTGTTTGGTTTCCTTTTTCGTTTATTTTGAGAACGAGCGCGACGCGTGCCAAAAATAATAACCCCAACAATAGACACGCCTCGCCCCAGCGTTGACCATTGACCGCTGATAAAAATACGAGCTGATGGAGCATTGATTTTGTGTGTGGCAAGGTCAAGCACAGGACAGACCCGCGGTCTCATCCGAATGGAATCAATAAAGTGGGGCAAGAGGAGTCCACTCAAAATAGCCACAAGGAAGGGGAGGGAGGAAGGGCACGGGACACACAGGTGTGTCGACGCATTAACCCAATTCCCGCAGGCAGCCAATGAATTTCCTTGCCTCCACTCCACGCAGGTGCCATCAAGTTGTCAGCGGCGTCTGCCAAGTGGCCAATAATGGGGCAGGGGAGACAGTGTTCAACGTGGAATGTTGTCCGGCACTTACCTGGGCGATGTCCCGCCGATTGCAGCAAAAGTTGACGAATGTCATGTTGACAAAATCCGAGCCATGGCACACGGTCACCGTCTTCTCCTCGAGCGTGGTGTCCTGCGGTCCCATGGTCACAATTTGACGCAGTTTGCCCTCCTGCAAAAAGACAAAAGCAAAAAGGAAGCAGCGTTATTAATTACACAAAAATAAAGGGCAGAAGTAGGAGTCAAAGGCAAGAACAACGGAGGAGGAAGTAGGAGCCCAAAACCCAGAGCAAGGGCAAAGCAACACCCTCTGCCAAATGAAGTTTTATGGCTGGCCATAGTCGTAAATGGAAGTCATATCCTATATCCTTGTGCGCTAATCCTGCGAGTGCAGCGAAGTTCATTTCGAAGCCAAACAAACAGCCAGTTCGGGTAGAGCTTCTGCCTGGCCATATTTCAATTAAAAGAGAACTGGAAATGGATTTACGAGCGCTCCGCTCCCACTCCCACTCCCACTCCCAAGTTGTGGCACCATTTTCGAGGCACAACACAAAAAACTGGGTTAAATGCAAATTGTAGAGCCACAAAAGCAGGAATACAGCGGGGTTAAGCCCAATGTCTATTTGTGGGTGGGGTATTAGCAGTCAGCCACACACACATCGTAGAGCTGGGGTTGGACTTTTGGTATTAACTTTTGTGGCATGCAGCGGCATGTCTTGACACTCGGCATTACAGTGTGTTTGCTCGCAGTGCTCTCTGTGCTTCCTGCAAACGTTTCCGGTGCGAGGACATTTGATAAACTGCTAGGGCCCGAAGGGGAGAGGCTGTCCAACTGCAGGGGCAAAATGGCACGTTTGTGGCACATAAATTCTGGTAGCTCCATGCACAAAAATGCCCATAAATCGAGTATTTGTGGAGCAGCTACTGGCACCCACAGTGCCCATATCGAAGCCTCAACCGAGCGGCACTCAGTCGTGCAATTAAATGGCTTAGACGGAGCCACACAGGTGTGCCCCATGCAAATCGAGCCAATAATGAGCTTTGCCGGTCAGCTCCCACAGCCCATTCGGCATCTCAGCTTTCGCCTCCAACTGCCAGGATGAAGACTGAGTGTCTGCCAGGAGCCATCGAGTCGACTAATTGAAAGGCTTTCCTTTCTCTTCACTCAACGGGCATTTGGGGGGCCATTAAAGCGCCATTCTGTTTAGTGCCTGATAAACGAGGCTGCCAGGCAGACAGGCAGCCAGCAGGATGCGATGCCAGGATGCCAGGCACACCTGCACGAAAAAGGAGTTCCCTGTGGCAGGGGGCAACGTTTATCTGGGCGCGTCATGATTTGCTTTTAACTAAAAACTAATTCCGGCAAATTTGTCGCTGTGAATAATGTAACTGGCGGCGGGCTGACGGGCTGACAGAAGGGGCACGGAACTGCCTGCTCCTGGCACGAGTTACCCGTGCCCGTGCCCGTTCCCGTACCAGTGCTGGGGAAAGCGTAAAGCGGAAATGACTCTACGGTGATTATCTTAATTGCTTCTCACGCTTCGCCCTCGACATTCACGCGCAGCTCGAGCGCTACTGGCTCTCCTCTCTGCCCTGCTCCTGGCTGCTCCCCGATAATCCTTTTGGCTCTGCTCGAAATTTGAATTTTAAGAACGCTCATTATGTAACCCAAACAGTGGTGGGGTATAGGGGTAACGCTGGGAGGTAGTAAATGTAGTAGTGAGGGACGGGGGAAGGCCATGTCTGTGTTAATTTTAGACAGCCTCCCGAAAACCCAACATTGGCCAGGAGAGTTATTGATTTTGAAGGTGCTAATAAAAAGGGGGGTACAGCTCTGGTCCTCTTTTTGCTCATTAATATTCAAATGGAGACTTAGTGAAGGAACTATGGAAGAAACTGAGTGATTAATGGAGAAACTAAGCAAATAAAAAGTGAGATTAATGGAGAAACTATTACAGTCTGATATAATGTTAAGGAAACGAAACGAATTTAGTGCGAATGACGACAGGAATTGTTCCAGGCAGTAGCGTTGTTTACAGCTTAGATTAACAGCGTGTTGCCGCTCTACGCTAACAGCCTGAAGCTCTACCGTCTGCAGTTGTGTTAGCGAGTCCGTCTACAGAGCTCTGTTAGCTCATCTATTTACAGATCTCTGTTGGCGCTTCTATCTACAGATCTCTGTTAGCGCTTCCATCTAAAGACCTCTGTTAGCGCTTCTATCCACAGATCTCTGTTAGCGCTTCTATCTACAGATCTCTGTGAGCGCTTCTATCTACAGATCTCTGTTAGCGCTCCCGCCTGCAGCTCTGTTGGCGCTCTCCGTCAGCTCTCTCCGAAAGCGCTCTCCCACAGGCGCTCTCACGATCCACGCGGCTATCGCGCGGCTTTAGCTTGTAAGCTAGAAGAACAAATAGAACGTCTGCTGCCTGTTTCTAACTGTTTAAGCGACAGAATCCACCCTCCCACAAGCAGTAATCACTCGAGATTATTCGCTACGAGTAATTTACTCTCTCAATGCCTTCGTTTGACTGTAGCCGAGAACCTAACCACTCCACTTCGAAAAAACTTCCCAGTTCACTTTTACAAAATTGTCGAAAAAAGCTTAGCGATAAAATTTTAGGCTGAGCTAAACTCGAGCATACAAAATTTAAAAGTAAATGAAAGTTTCGTTATTTGATTTGAAGCGAGATGAGTGCAGCTGGTGAGCGGTGGAAGCGCTTAGCGCAGGAGCGGCGGAGCAGGGGAGGCAAGGGATTCGAGGCGCTGGACGAGTGGACTCCGCCCAGGCCGTACGAGGTGATGCGGCGACAGAATTGCAAGACTGCCAAGTACCGTGCGGCTGAGACATATCCGAGCATCCGTCCGCCAGTGTCGAGGTGCAGTCGGGCACAGACCATCGCCTGGCTGGCGGACTCCATCGAGGCGGATGGCTGCGGGCGGCCTAACGACATGACCAACGATGATATCCTCAAAATGTGGCACCAGAGTCCACACAAGAACACTTTGGGCTACTACGGCGTGGAGTCGCAGGAGCCGCAGTCAGAGGTGGAGAATTTCAATAAGCAAATCCAGAAGAGCCTCGAAATGGCCAATGGGCCCAAGCGGCGCACAAAGCACTCACGAGCGGAGGGACCCAGGACACTGCCGAGCGTTGGCACGAAGAAGCAGGCGACTACGCCTGGATCCTGCCTGCCAATGGGCTGCGGCCTGCCATTTGTCCTCAATCGCGAGGCCATCAAAGCGGTGATCCAGAAGATGCCAACAGTCAAGAGGAAACTGTCGCCCAGCCACACCTATGCGACGGTTTACTGCAAGAAGCCGCAGGATCCCATCGATCCTTTTGGTGTCATGCAGGAGCAGCAGCCACAACCCGACGGGGAGAAGGAGAAGCAGAAGCGACGCCACTATCCATACTGTGGCTGGAGGTGCAATCAGCCGCAGAACCAGTGCACGGATTACGAGTGGAAAAAGTACAAGCTGGATCCCAGACCCATCGATGAGGCCTTCAAACGGGAGCAGGCGGCACAGGAGCGGCAGCCAAGGGAGCCCGAGCCACGGAACTACGACGAGCTGTTCAGCCGCCTGGTCACTTGCTTTGAGACCCTGCCGATGGAGGATCCCATGTGCAAGGACTTCGTCGAATGCTGCATACCCAAAAGATGCGAGGAGGATGGCCCTGGAGCACCAGGCGGTGCCACAACGGATGAAGGTGGTGACAAGGGCGTTGGCGGGGAGACACCCGGACAGCCCACAGGTGAAGGGTATAAGCCAGGAGACAAACCCAAGAACGGACATAAGCAAGGATACGGTGAGAAGCCGTCAGGCGATGGCGATAAACCAGAAGATGGTGGAAAGCCCGGAGATGGCAGCGGCGATGGTGGCAAGCCCGGCGGCAAAAAAGACAAGCCAAACGGTGACCCCAACGATCCCAAAGGTGGCAAAAATAAGCCAAAAGGTGACCCCAACGATCCAGCTGGTGGCAAAAATAAGCCAAAGGGTGACCCCAACGATCCAACTGGTGGCAAAAATAAGCCAAAGGGTGACCCTAACGATCCGAATAGCGACAGAAACAGGCCAAAGGGTGACCCCAACTATCCAAGTGGCGGCGAAAAGAACAAGGGCAAGAAGGAGAAGCCAGAGAAAGAAAAGGATCTGGAACCACCAGAGAAGCCAAGACCGCCGCCCAAGCGGCCCATGGAGGAAGAGCCAGAGCCAGCGGACGGCGAAGATGGGGAATCCAAGCACGAACCGGGAGAGCCAACGAAAAAGCCAGCGGAGGAGAAAAAGGATAAGGCAAAGGAGAAAGAGAAAGAGAAAGGGAAGGACAAGCCAGCGGATAAGACAAAGCAACCGGGGGACCCGGATGCGCCCAAGAAGCCAGACGGAAAGGATAAGCCCAAGCGACCAATGGAACCGATGGAGAAACCCAAGCGACCCATGGAGAAGGAGCCGCCGCCAGTGGGAGACTCTGAGCCGGAATGCGATCCCAACGATCCCAACTGTTTCACAGGCCAACCTCAGTGTCCGCCCAACGATCCGCTGTGCAGCGTGTCGCAGGAATCTGGGGATGGTCTGGAATATCCACCTGAAGGAAAACCACCCATCGTGCCAATGCCACAGCAACCGTCAGAGCAGCCAGACATGCCACCGCCTGGCATCGAGGATCAAGCACCGCCTGGAGCTGATGGCGATGGTGGGGAACCCGAACAGCCACCGGAGAAGGGCAAGACGGAGCAGGACAAGTGTCCGCCGTGTCCCTGCGACATGTGTGAGTTTCTGCGGCGCCACAAGCTACCCGACTCACCGCTGATGCGCAAGTTGCAGCGTCAGGAAAAGCTGCGACAGCAGCGGGAATACTATAAGCAAATGTGCCACCGCCAGTACATGGAATGCCGCACGCCCGAATATCCTGCCCCACAGCACAAGTGCGATCCGATTGTCAGCGACAACGCCTTCTGCCGCAACCCCAAGCTCGGGGAGTACTGCGAATGCCTCAAGGCAATGCAGGACCTGCAGCAGCTGCTTGGCAAGAAGCATCGAATCGTCGGCAATCAGCTGCTGTTCGACCTGGAGGACCTTAAGAGTCGCCTCTGCAAGCGAATGTGTGATTGTCTCTAAGTTTGTCTCTCTATAATGTCCAAGAAGTGTATTTCTAATGTCTAATGTCCAAGAGTAAGCTAAAATAAGAACGAATCTGCCGGGTTTCATTATTATTATTATTTTATGTTGCAAAATGGTTTTTTTTTGGGCGCAATTACTGTACCATGGAGTGGCCTAAACGACACCCAGCTGATGCCTGGGAAAGTATCAGTAACACTCGTGGCAAACATTGCACCAAGAACAGAAGACATCGAAGGGCTAACAAAGAGGAAACGATGACTCTTGAAACTTTCTCTGCCAACTATTTTTTAGGAAACATTTTCCCCCGACACAAAGTGCACCTTGACTTTACACTCTCGCCCTGTCTTTCGTTGACAGGGAAAAGCCTCCACAAACTCAGTTCGAAATCATGTGTTGAGCCTACAACATCTAAATTTTCAGAGTGTAATTTTAATTTTTGGTTTTTAATGTTTGCGTTTGTAAAATCTAAAAAATAAGTTTGTTTGTTTTGGACCCGAATCGGTTTTAGGTAGGACATTCCCACATTACACTCTGCAGAAATGACAAAGGATAGGAATGATGCAGCCAAGTCGGTGGGGCAGCCACCGGTGTTTGCGGGTTGCATGCCGCTGGAGGAGATTACAATCTACGACTGGATGCGACAGCAGAACTGCAAGACCACGAGATACCAGCAGGTGGAGACGTACCCAAACATACGTCCGCCCATCTCGCGGTGCAACAAGCAGCAGACCTTAAGGTGGATGTCCGACTCCCTGGAGGCCACAGGCTGTGAGCGGCTCTTCGACATGCGTAAGGACAATGTGCTGGAAGCGTGGACAAACATTCCCAACAAGGAAACACTCGGCTGGTACGGCCTCAGCGGTGGCATTCAAGATCCCGAAGCGGTGCTTTTTAATCAAGCGCTGACCAAGAGCCTCCAGGCAGCCAGCGGCGTAAAGGCGAAGCTCCCGAAGCAGCTAAAGCCGCAGTGGAAACCCAAACCCAAGCCGACTGGCGCCTACGTGCTGAATCGTCAGTGTCTGCGCTCACAGCTGGCACGGATGCCCACCATCAAGCGGAAGTTGTCGCCCAACTACGCCTTCACATGGCTGCACTGTCCGCCACCGGATCCCACTAGTCCTCCCTTCGAGGACAAGCGAGGTCCTCCCATACCCCTGACCAGCGCCTTGGGCATGGAGCGTACGCCCAGGAAGCACGGCAAGCGGAAGCACAGCCTGCGGCATCCCATGTGTCACTTGTCCTGCGATCAACCCAAGAACCAGTGCACCGACTACGAGTGGAGAAAGTACAAGGAGGATCCGCGAGCCATCGACGAGGCCTTCAGGCGGGAGCAGGCGGCGGCGCAGACATCGACGGAGGAGGAGCCCAAGGACTACGATGAGCTGTACGCGCGAATGCTGGGCTGCTTCGAGCAGAGTCGAGATCAGAACACCATCTGCCAGGACTACGAGAAGTGCTGCAAGGCGCCGGGCGATCCTCCGACTCAGGGCTGTGGCGAAATGGTCCCCGAGGGAGCTGATGGCGGTGCCGGGGGTAAGTCTGACGGCGATGGCGGCGGCGGCGGCGGCAAAGATGGCGCTGGCAAGGATGGCGAGGGTGGCGAGGGTGGCGACAGGGGTAGCCGCAGAAGCACAAGCACGCGGAAGAGCCGCAAAGATGGGAAGTACGGGCATGGCGGCAAGGGTGGCGATGGAGACGACGATGGCACGGGCAAGGGCGGCAAGGGTGCGGGAAAGGATGGCAAAGGTGGCAAGGGCGGGGAGGGCATGGACGGTGACGGCAAAGGCGGCAAGGGTGGCAAAGGTTTTGGCGACGATTTTGACGGCAAGGACAAAGACAAAGGCAAGGGCGACGGACGGGATGGGGGCAGAAAAATGGAGGGGGACGATGATGGCACAGGCGGCAGGCGGAACAGAGGCGACCTCGATGACGATGGCGACGGTGAGGGTGGCAGGCGCAAGGATGGAAGCCGCTCCTCGCTCGATTCGCACGGCAGCCGCACGGGGCACGGAGATGGCACCGGCACCGGCACCGATGGCAAGGATGGTGATGGCAAATATGGCGACGGCAAAGATGGCGATGGCAAGGACAGGGACGGCAAGGACAGAGATGGCAAAAAGGGCAAGAAAGGTGGGCGGAAGAACAAGAAACGTGGCGGCGAAGGCGGCGATGGTGATGGTGATGGCAAAGACACCGTCAAGGACTGCCCCTGCGAGCTGTGCAACTACTGTGACAAGGAGTCGGACACGCCGCTCATCCGCGAGATGCGACGGCGCGACAAGCAGCGCCAGCAGCGGGAATACCTCCAGCTGATGCGCCACCGTCAGTATGTCAAATGCCGCACCGCCGAGTACCTTGCCACGCAGCACAAGTGCGATCCGATTGTCTGCTGCAATAAGTTCTGCGGCAACCCGCTGCTGCAGGATCATCTGGCCAAGATCGATGCGGTGCAACAGTTGCAGCAGCAGCTGAAGCGTTGCAATCGCAAAAATCGCGTCTCCTGCACATCCATTCACAGGAGACTCAATCGGCTGAAGCAGCATCTGTGTGAAGCGTTTGAAATGCCAGAAAAGAGTTGAGGAATGGTTTCGAGATTCCCGCTGCCCATCTGCCCATCCAAAGATCTGCATTCAATCTGTTCCTCTGCTACCGTGGACTTTATGCATTTGGATTGTATCTCTTTTTATACTCTTACTCCTGTTGCTGATTTTTATCATTCTGTGATTGAATCTGTTCTTCTTTTGTAATGATCTTGGAATAATCATTAAGTTTTTTATAGAATATTTGCTTTGAAAACTCAGCTCTTAGTCGCTATATCTGTGCTTTCATTTCCCTGAAATATTCCTCCTTCTCTGGTGTAAATTTCGTTTCATTTTCACCCCCTTAATAATTATTCACTTCCTAAGTGAGCGTTTTCCATTCCCATTGCCATTTCCCTCAATCATTTTTCGCCAAGCGCTTTTTAATAAAGCTCTCCACAGTCCAGTTCAGTTCAGTTTATTTCGATTCACTGGACTTTTGATGCATTTTTTAATTAATGCACAATTTTGCTCACACTCTTAGTCTTTCTGCTTTCCCTTTTCCTGCATTTTTGTTCTCCTTGTTTTATTGCAACTTTTTCGAGTTAATCACATATTTGCATCCACTGGTGTCTGCGTGTTTTTTCAAGCGTGTGTGTCCGTGTGGTCGTGTATGCCTCTGTGTGCGTTTGGGCGTGGCCAACGCCCACGCGTTGCTTCGAGTCTCTGTTCTGTGCATTTAATTAATGCAACAGTCTCTCTCCTCTCCTCTCTTTGCTGGTCTCTCCTTTGGCTTTTCTGCTGCTTCCTCCGTTTGCTCGAAGCAAACACAAACACGAAAAACAAAACTCATTTGACTGTGGCCTTGGGTCTGTCGTCTCCCCGTCTCCGTCGCTTACTGCAGCAGCTACAAAACTACAAAACTGCAAACTATTATCAGTTGGGGCAATGGGCGTGGCTCTAGGCTCTGCTCGGGAATTGTGCGACAGCCGCCCATGATTTATACAACGGACAATGCGCGAAGGAAGCCGAAGCCAAAGCCAAGCCAAGGAAATTGCAAGCAAGGAAAACGCAGGTGCCTCAAGGATTCAGCTCTCTCTCTCTCTCTCTCTCTCTACCTCCCTCTCACACTGCAACACTTCCTTTTGCTGCTTGAATAATTGCCCCACATTTATGGGAGAGAGAACCTAATTCAATAATGGAATTGCGACCTTAGACACGATTTCCAATGACTTTTTTCTGGTCCAAGGAGCAGCTGCGTCTCCCGTCGCCGTCTCCCGCTGCTTACATAAAACGCTTTACCCAGGGAAAACCCAGTGGAAATGAAAGCATGTTGCCTTGTCATTGCCATGATAAATGTATTGGTTACACACACACACGCAAACACACACACGGAGAGAGGCAGAGCCACGCCATGAAAAAGAAAATTGTGTAAAACGGGAAAAAATCGTGCGGAGTGGGTGTTGCAGAAGATCACACACAGGACACACTCACAGGACACACACACACACATGGAAAATGGAAATCCCGATGCCAAGGAAAGGAACGCACGTGACTTGGCTGCACAAAAACTAAGCGAAAGATTCAGCAAGGAGCAGCAGCAGCAGCAGGAGGAGGATTACCTGCACTATTCCTTACCCACACTACCCTTCTGCTTCTTGGGGTATTGGCTCTAAGGAAATCTGTTCGTCTTTCAACCCGTAATTGGCTTTCAATTGCTGGCCCAAACATTTTATTAGCTCGTAATCCACAAAAGATATACGCGCCATCGCCAGCCATCGTCATCAACGCCCTCTAAAATTCAACACACAGATTGGGGATCAACATGCAGATGCTGCTGCTTGCTGTATGCAACGCCAAAAGCCAACAATATAATATATGTTTTGATAAATTTTGTCTATAAACAAGCAAGACATCAGACCACAGAAATATAAAAAGAATTAACGAGGGAATACGCGAGAGAAACGAGATAAATGAAGACGAAGGTTGTATGCTCCTTAAACATGTTTAACTTAATTTTAGGAATATTTTTGGTGCAGCTCAGATAGAGCTTGCCTAAGATATATTTGAGCCTTAGTATTGAATTTGCCTTTGAAAAGGTATGACTTGGCACTTGCCTGGGATTACAATTTGTTTGAAATACAGAAATTAAATTGAAATTTGGCAGCTATCTTGCTGTCGAGACACATTTGCCTGCTATTTGGCCATTGCCCACGCCCATTCCAACAAATATTAAATTCTGCACAGCTTCCAATTAGCGCCTGTCAGACCGCAGGGAAAATTGAGTTAATAATTGCATTAAAGTGTCACAAATGTGTGCTGGTAAAAAGGCTACATTGAGCTACATTTTGGCCATCAGCTGACAAAGATAATAAGACAGAATAAATGTGTTCAAAAACTACCATAAAGGAGGAAAATAATGCTTAAATTTTTAAATTTAAAATCTTGATTTATAATGCTACAAATTAGCTCTCAAACTTGTACTCTTCAGCATTTGTTGAACACTTAAATCTGCCATACAAAGAGCAAGAGAGAGACAGAGACCTTCTAAAGTGCACAAAATATTCCCAAGAAGTAGCAAGGAGCTTGGAAATTCCGAATTGAGTGCTTGAAATCCACACTTTTCCACACGGAAGGTGGAAAAGAAATGTGATTCAATGTGGTGGTTGCAGCAGAGCCAACTATTTTTTAGTGCTGGAAACTCTCTCTCTCGAGCGAGAATTTCTAAAATCGAGGAGTTGTTATACAGCCGAAAAATGTCCAGCAAAAAGCAAGTCCACACCTACAACCGGTTGGAGGGCTGCCACACTTTGTGTGTGTGTGTGTGTGTGTGTGTGCCTGTGACATGGTGCGTGCTTGCATTGAATATGCGATTAGCTATCAGAGCAGGGGCTGTGTGGCATGTCCCTGGGGAGAACTCATCATGTGGAGGAGGGGGCTGGGTGGGCAGGATGTTCATGGACCCGACATAGTCGATTACCCAACTCTACACATCATGAAAAAGTTATAACATGCTTCGTGGCAGGGCATACACTCCTCACACCCACCATTACACACACTCCAGCTGCTGCTGCTGCCTTCTATTGTGCGTGTGAAAACCAGACAAATATATTTCTTTACTCTCCCCCACCCACAGCATGTGCCTGTGACTGCGAGGAGGCAAGCAACTCCCTCCCTCCCAGCGAGCCAACCATCACATAACGTATACGCACCTTTGGCTTCTTGGCATACTGTCCCGTGCGCACATCCCGTATGGTGGCGATATCCAGTATGTCCAGCTCGTTGTTCTGATCCACCCAATAGAGGAAGAAGCCCTTGGCATCCACACGCATCGTGACGGGCAGGCCAGTGCCCGAGTCCTGCAAGAGAAATTGAGAGGAAATCCAGAAATGAATTAAGATTGATAATTGAAACTGAAACAGCTCCCGGTTCGGGTCCAAAATAAAGAAACAAACAAACAACAAAAAGTACACACAAACAGACAGACACCCAGTCATGTGTGAGTATTCCCCCAATGCATGGGGTTCATTGAACTGTGGGAACTGCCTGGCTAATGAATTTATTCTGGCCAATTTCTCATTCGAATGGCTCGCAAATCGTACAGGGCGGCGGACGGTCCCCAAGTGCAGGCAGCAACCAGTACGAGTCCCACTCCCACTCCCATTGCCTATCGTCTGTCATCTGCTTATTATTTAAGTCGAATTAAATGAGCCTCCTCCGCCATGGGGCGGCCATAAATATTTAAGCATTCATTCATTCATAAAAACCAACGAAAAAGTATGCGAAAATGCCTCCGCAGTACCCAGTCACACAGTCCCACAGTCCCCTGTGTGTGTGTGTGTGTGTGGCAATGCCAAACAGATGTGCCACAAGGCAGCAACCCCACCCAGCCACGGAATATTTCGAGCCAAAAGTGAAATATTTTACTCGTATTTTGTGAAATATTCATGCAAATAAGCAAAGACGCAATCTGCGAGCCACAAAATATGTCTTTTCCGCGTCTTGCGAGTACCCTGGAGTAGAGTGGGTATAATGGCTTTTGAATGGAGCCACAAGAAAGAGCATTTATGTTTAATTTATGAATGCATAACTTCTGAATATGTTCCTCAATTATGGAGATATTAGCAACTATTATGGAGCACATGGATGATGCTTGGGAATTGGAACAGTAGGTCAAAGTGGAAGTGTGATTAGCCGATGAAATTAAATGAAGATAATGAGAGTTTAAGCTCTTGCCAGTTGCTCTTTTCTTTGCTAAATTTAATGCAGAATATTCTTAAATACATGCTAAAGCTCTCATAGATTGGTGTCTCTGTAGAAATTGCAAGCATATGAAACCTTTTTCTGCCAAGTCTAGCAAGGAGAAGATTGTAACGAAGGGTAAGCTGCATGTCGTTGCTCTTTAACTTATATCTCCCATAGATCATGGTTCAAATAAAACAGCGACAAACGATCAGTCTTCAAGTGTCTCTAAACATTCCAGCCCCGAATCTACCCTTTCTTTAGCTCACTTCCCAGTACTTTCTATTATCTTGGAAGCGACGGAAACAATGCGTTAAATGTTCAGCATTAAATTGCGGAGCTCTAATGTATGTTTATCCAGACAGTGAGTGGATTGAGGGCCCAAAAAAAGTCAGCTAGAGTAACCTGCAACACAAGAGCGATGGCTCGATGGATGACTAGATGGATGTCTGTGCCAGAAAGTGGGCAGGGGAAAAGTGTGTTCTGGTCACGCAAGTATCTTCAGCCAACAAAGTACCTCTCGAAGGACTCGCTCCTTTGTGGCATTCCTTGACCTCCCCAAAGGATTGGCCGCCATTAAGATTAGGGGGCGAATGTTTCGGTTATTATGGCCAAAAATTGATGAGCAAATGAAAATACTTCTCTGTTCGCCTGCTCTCCCCTTAGTCGTGTTTAATTTTGCCGAGTTCATTATCCCTTTGCTCTGGCGGGTATTGTATTTTTCGGTGGGTTTAATGAACTCTCCTTCGAGGTGGCAAAGTGGAAAGAAAAGTGGACTTTCCCTTGCCCACTGCTATGGGAATAATTGAAATTGAAAACATTCATTCGGATTCAATGGCCCCAAGGAAAAGTGTGTAGCTGTGGGGATTTTCAATTAGTCGCATATTTTCCGAAGATTTTCGTTGTGCCAAAAAAGGGTTCGCTGGTGGTCGCTAATTGGAATCCCCATTCGAGTGTTGTCCTGCATGCTGCTTGCTTTTCCACTTTTCCTTTTCCCTTTTCCCTTTTTCCCTATTCTACTGTTTGTCTAATTTCGGGAAATACTAATTGAGTTTTGAGCGAGAAAACTTTGTTAATTCTCTTTCAATATGCACAAAATTCTATGGAAATTCAATAAATGCTAAGAGAAGAACACTTGACACGATTTTCAAATATTAAAAGCCAAAAAAAGTCTCTGTAGCTGTGTATCTATTGGTTTGTGCGCGTTTAGGATAAAAGCGATTGCATGCATAATTCAATTGATGTAACAGTTGGATATCCAGTTCCCTGTCAAAGGACTCCCTCAGCAGCACAGGGCCACACAGCAGGAAGAGCGAGGAAGCGGAATGAGGCAGCTACAGGATACGGAATGTGTGTTGTCACATCTGCTGCTGACGATTGTCACACATCATTCCCTCGTGCTATTGTCAATCATGCTTAGGGACTGTCGACAGTCCTAAAAGGGTTGCTACGAGTTCCTCCCTCCCTGCCTGACTCTGTCCCAAAGTGCATTAGGTGTGCCCCAGCAGTATGCAAATGTGGAGCAGACTGAGTTTAAGCAGCTGCCTGTGCCTGCTCCTGGCTGTGCAAACTACATGCAAATTATATCATAAAATATGTATTCCCCGGCCAGCCAACGGCACGGCACCTGAGCAAAAGTTTTTGGCACAACTTTTGGCTGCTGTTGAAGTTTGAGCAGAGCGATGGAGATGCCTCTACAGTTGGGTGCTGGGATTGGGTTAAGGCTTGAGGGACGAGCCATCAGCCAAAGTCTGTCGCGCTGTTGGTGGTGGCTGCTGAGGGAGCTCAGAACTGACACAGGCAGGAAGGAGCAATCAGCTGAAGACCTTTAGCCTGAGACAGCTTACACCTCCACGTTTACTTCTACTTTCTCGGGCATCTATTGGCTGCTGCCTCGTGTTTCTTTTGCCACTTTTTCGTGTCTCATTTGCCACTCATTCAACCCTGATTTGCAGCTGTGCTTACTGTATCTACAAACCGATCGCTGATCGTTGATCGTTGATCGTTAATCGTAAATTGTTGAACAATAAATAGCTTGTTGGATTGTTCGTAGCAATCAATACGCCACTTATCGGGCAATAGAAATACAGTAGATATTCCCACATCGATAAGATATGGCAAACACTCATCACAAGACTTTAATTTAATGCACAAATATTACGCAAAAAGATCTATTCGAAGGGCCGAAGGGCTTCAATTGAGTTGATAATAGGCCGCCATGGTGCCATAGATCCAGCCCACATAGGAGGAGACAGCAGTGTAGACCGTCGGACGATTGGCATAGCCGCAGGGCATGTAGCTCCAGGAGCCGAGAGCCACCAGTTCCGCGGGTCCATCGATGGGCCAGTAGACGAGCGGAGTGCCACCGTCCCCGTAGCAAGTCTTGACGCTGGAGCAGACCTGTTTGGACGTCAGAGGAGCATCGGTTGGCAGCAGCACTTCACATTGGGAGTTCTCCAGCAGCGGGGCAAAGGCATACTGCAGCTGCTTGGAGAACTCATCGCCCTCTACGTCGGTGAGGCCCCAGCCATAGGCGGTGACCAGTTTGCCGGCGTAATCCTCCTCCATGTCGGGCAGGGCTATCTGCTGGACACGAGCAGAGTACACAAATGGCTGGGAGACGTGCAGCAGGGCAATGTTGTCGCTGCCCGCCTTGCCATTGAACGAACGATGAACGGAGGCAAAGTCCACGTGACGCACCTGAGCGGCGGTCACATTGGAGCGATTGCTGACACCCGCATAGACGGGCATGCCGAGGATATCTCCATTGAAGCTGCGCACTCCCTCCACACAGTGTGCGGCAATGGTGACAATCCACGACTTGGCGATGAGCACTCCGCCACACTGATGCGTGTAGGTGGCCTTTGTGAGGCTCAGCGATACCAAATAGGGCACATTGTCCACACCCTGCACATCGTAGCCATCGATGATCCGTGCTGAGATCTCCACGGGGAGTGGAGAGTCTACTGCAGTTTCCCGCGCTGCCAGGTGTTGAATGTGCGGCTGCAGTGAGGCGGCGCCAGCGAGTGCCACAAGTGGCAGCAGTACGCAGAGCGATAGCATTTTACGGCAGTGAATTTATTTTTGTGGTACGATTACTGATTACTGATTACTCGTAGATGCGAAGTTCCACGATGGGAACCACAATAGGTCTAAACGGTTTGCGATCGAGTGACGAGGATTTTATAGTGCGCCGATCAGAGTCTAGAGCTTTTGGGAGAGAGAGAGAGAGAGAGATTCCCACACGAATTGAAGGTGCTCTTGGGCAGAAAAGAGTTGCAGAATATGGATTGCCTTTGTTGTTGAAAAGTTCTTGGCTCTTTTGTGTATTTCTTCTAGGATATTCCTTGAGCATTTATAAGCAACTAACACATGAAAAATTGGCTTTTACTTGAGATGTTCTTACTACTAAATGAATAGAGTATTTCCTCATGCCGTCTTAGCTACTATTTGGTCACTATTCAACCTTGTATTCTATCATATTTATCTAAGGGAAGATTAAGTGCCTGAAGGGATACCTGTCTAATAAAATGCTCTGACTCTAAATAATGATTCTTTCCATTTAATGCGCCTTTCACAGGTCTAGTTCCCATAGGTTTCCCTTCCTATATGGCCGTTAGCTTTAAGCTTTGCCAACTGCCATTTGTGGAGGTGATGGGAGAGAAATTCCCCAAAGAGTTAAACTACCCAAAAGTACTGCTTGTCGTGCTCTTTTCCAGCTATCTTTAATCGCGCAATTCATTCGGTTTTGATAAGAACTTAGCTCTCAAAGTGGAAGAGCTATCGATGGCTAGAAAAGAGATGAAAGTAGTTTTGATTGAAATACGAAAGAGAGTGAGAATATTTGGACTTTGCTCAAGGGCCCCATTGGAGTACAAAAAATATATTGAAGAAAACTGCACTTTAGCTCGATTATTCCAATTTATTTAGATGAGTATTTAGCCAAGTCTATGGACATAACACCAGCTGAAGTTCGAACTTTTCCAACCATAGTAAACGACTCTTGGGATTGGGTTTCTATCTTACCAATAGGAAATATAATCTTCCAAGCATTGCCCATTTAGATTTTAAACTACAGTTTTAATATCTTTCCAATAGTCATTCAATTACCCATTAAAAACTGGCTTGCCTTTGCGCCATCACTTTTTGCCTCTAATTGAAAGGCATTGGAAACTCTTCTTAATGTCACCGCAAAATGCTCTTAAATGGAAGATGGCTTTGCCGGCGTGTTTTGTCCATGCAATAACCCCTTTTTCCATGCAGTGCATATCCCTGCTGCACCATGTCCTTCCCTGGTGCACCAGCATCCATAATTGCCGGCTGCCAACTGGCTCTCAAAGTGGCATTAAGGCCACATGGCGCTGTCTGCCGCCCCGGCGCGTTTTCCTGTTGGTGTGTTTTCCCTCTATTTTCTCGCTCATTTCCCCTTTCCTTTTCCTCCCTTTTTGTTGTTGTTTTAAAAATGTTTTTACGCAAAAGTGCGGTTGATGTCCGGTTTGATCGGGGTGCAGGCAGCGAGCGAACCATCGAGAACTTTGTATGCCGTGAAATGTGCTTTTAATTGGCTTAGTCCGCCCGCCGCAGCAGTAACCGGACTCTGACCAGTGGTCCATAAGGCCTCTGCCTCTCCTTTGCCTCTGCTGCCATATTTTTAGCATCCTTTCATGCCAGCGAGCGGCAGCGAGTTGGACCCCTGGCGACCTTGTGGCGCTGCGCTGTCAACACCTCAGTGGCCACATTACGCACCTCTAAAGGGGCCGGCACTAACGCGGGAAGCCCTTCCTTCACCTCTAAAGCCTTTCGCCTCCGACTGGGAGCTCTAAAGTGGAAGCCCCTCCACCACCTCCACAGGTGCTCTAATGAAGCCTTAGCTCCACGGGTGTCCAAACCAGCAGCCTGACTGCAAAAGTCCTTCATTTTGTCACTCTCACTGACTCTCCTCAGCTTTGGGTTTACGCACAGCTTTCAAGGGCAAAACCCACAGTCCGCGTCGTAACCTTATCGCAGTGCAGATCCCAATCGACTCATAAGAATAGCCGCGTGTAATCGCAGTATATTCGAAACACCATTCATAAATCTATTCGCTAATCTGGCAGCGGATTTCGACTATAAAAGAGGTTACCCTCGGCACTGGCAAACATTAATCCAACTCCTTCGACACGCACAGAATGAAGTTTGTGATTGCTTTGAGTATTCTGGTGGCTCTGCTGGCCACCGCTCAGGCTGGCAAATTGAGCGACAAATTCGCTCATTTGATCCCCAGCTTTGCCACTGGCTTCGTGATCAACGGCACCGAGGCGGAGCCCCACTCTGCCCCGTACATCGTCTCGCTGGCCACCAAGTTCGACAAGCATTCGCACATCTGCGGCGGCACCATCATCAGCAAGGAATGGATCCTCACGGCTGCCCATTGCATCTCCAACCCCGTGAACATGAGCGCCATCGCTGGTCTGCACACCCGCGCAAAGGTCGATGAGCTCACCCAGCAGCGTCTGATCGATTTTGGCCGCGTTCACGAGTCCTACACTGGAGGCGTTGGACCCTTCGACATTGCCATCCTGCACGTGAGCGAACCCTTCGTGTTCAACGAGTGGGTCCAGCCCGCTACCCTGCCCACCCGCGAGGAGGTCCATGAGGGAGAGTCCCACCTGTACGGCTGGGGACAGCCCAAGTCGTACGTTCTGACCGCCGCCAAGACCCTGCAGACCGTCACCACGGAGCTGGTCAACTACCAGGAGTGCGCCGATGCCCTGCCCGAGAATGCCCCACTGGAGCCATCGAACATTTGCTCCTCCTCCCTGCAGCAGAGCGTGTCCGCCTGCAACGGTGACTCTGGCGGCCCTCTGGTCGTGGAGACCGAGAACGCACCCTCCGAGCTGGTCGGCATCGTCTCCTGGGGCTACATTCCCTGTGGACTCGCCCAGCTGCCCTCCGTCTACACCCGCGTCTCCGCCTACACCGACTGGATCCAGGCCAAGCAGACCGCCTACTACGCTCTCTTCTAAGGGAATGGAGTTCTACTCTTATAGATCAACTTCCAAGGGAATCCACTCTGCGATTCCACTGAGAAGTTGTTGGAAGAACCACTGATGGATGGTGAAATAAATGCATTCGTCTAAAGTCTAAGTTTTGATCATGGGTTTGCCAGAGATTGGCTAATTTATGGCCATGATTGGGCATAGGGGGCTGATCTGGATTTATGGCGCTACTATAACCAGTAATCGTGACTGGAAAGGCCACGGGTTTTTCGGCGAAGGCGTGTGCCATTGATAGAGCCAATCAGAGGCAGAGTGCCAGTGCCAGTTCCAGTCTATTTCTTATCAAAGAGATTAGGGCACGGGCGCTGAATGGGAAAGCTCGCGAGCAGAAAGCTCTGATTTGTACACAAAGTAAACGGAAATAATGTACCCCCTTTTATGAGAAAGTACCTGCTTTAGATGTAGCTAGTCATGACTAGTAATCATAGGAGTACGGGTGTACCACAGATAGTGGAAGCGCCATGGGGAAATATTAAGAGGGAGTGCCGAGGCACCCAACATTTAAGATCATTCTCCCTATAAACATAAGCCGATTGCAATGATTTATCTCTGATAAAATAATAGCTCTCCCACTTTCTTCATCGTCAATTTTTGTGATTTAATTAGATGGATTGAAATTCTCTTCAGAGGCAAAAATATCTTTACCCTTTTCACTGATGTTTGGCCAATAAGTCCCAAGTTCATTCACGCCCAAAACGTATCTTATCTGTGTTTGAAGAGATGTCTGAAAAACCAATCTAAAGAGTCTAACACTTTGATTTATCACTTGAAGGGTTATCGATAGCTTCGAAGTCAAGTGACAACTTGAGAGACTCGACATACGACACTCGAGCAAATTATTCGAGCAACTCCAAAGTGAAGTAGAGATCCGATAGATGTGTAGTGGATGGTGCCACACTTTTATTGGCACCCCCCAAGGATCGTAAATCTGCGACTATCTTCGGCCAGCGATAAGGAAACAAAAGATTAGATCCCTCCCGCCTATAAAAATCAATGCCAAACCCACTGGTGGAACAAACGCAAACCAACAGCCGAAAGCATGAGACAATTTGTGCTGTTCCTTGCACTCGCAGTGGCCGCTGTGTCGGCCCACACGATCGCCCAGCCAGGATTCCCGGAGGGACGCATCATCAACGGCTACGAGGCACAGCCCGGAGAGGCTCCCTACATCGTCTCCCTGCAGAGTTTAGAGGGAGTATCCCTCTGTGCTGCTTCAATCATTCGTGCGGATGTTCTGCTCACCGCCGCCCACTGCCTCACGAAGGACTACTATTTGGCGGTGGCTGCTGGCCACAGTCGCAGCAATCCCGAGGACACCCAAGTGCGAAAGGCCAGCATAACTCGCCAGCTGATCCACGAGAGCTACCCGGGCAAAGCCGGACCCTACGACATTGCTCTGCTCTTCCTGGAGACGCCCTTCGATCTGAATGCCATCTCCCGGGATGGCTTCGCGCCCGTTTCCACCATCGCGCTGCCACCCAAGAATCTTCCGGGCACCACCAGCGGCACCCTCTACGGCTGGGGCAAGGACGGCTCCAACGGACAGCCGGACACGCTGCAGAAGCTCGATGTGGACATTCTCGACTATGAGACCTGCCTGGCGGCCATGCCCGAGGACAGCAAACTGGTGGACAGCAATGTGTGCACCCACAAGGCCGGCACCCCCGACGGCGCCTGCAATGGCGACAGTGGCGGTCCGCTGATCAGTCGTTCTGCCGACGGCACTGCCTACCAGGTGGGCGTTGTGTCCTGGGGCTATGTGCCCTGCACGATGACCAAATATCCTTCGGTTTACACGTCGGTTTATGCGTTTACCAGTTGGATTAATCAGCATATTAATGATTATTCGAACTAGGTCTTAGAAGGTCTTAGAAAATAATAGAAAATATTTCAATAAATGAACATTAATAGGAGCAGACCATCTTTTCACTCTCATTCTCTATCTAGAGAAGGGTATACAGAGGTAGGTTTAATGATCACTAAATCAACAACGTTCCATCCTCTATTAACTTCCACTAATCTCGTTTGAAAATCCATCAAAAATCCCTCCAAAATGTTTCAAAATTCTGCTACAAATTGCAATCATACTTCACTGCTCCCTGCACTTTTTCCCCCACTTATTGCTTGAGTAACTTAATTTTTGGTTGCACTCACATCATCCCATCGTATGAATTTTTCGCCATCCTGCAGCGCCTGTGGCACCTCCACGCTGGCGGTGGAGATGTACGTACCCCCGGCGCTCATCATCCTGCAACCGAATCAGAGATCCCAATCCAAATCCAAATCCAAATCCTCTTCCTGTAATTTTATGCTGCTGCTGCTGCTGCTGCTGTTTTCTGTGTGCGTTTTGTGTTTTCCCTCTGTTGTTTCCTGTGCTGCGGCTGTTGGCTTCCGCTTAGCCGCTGCTCTGCACTTCCGTTGCTCTTGTTGCTCTGAATGCTCCTGGTCTGCATACAAATGAAGCCATGATTCTGGTCCTAGTCCTCGCCCTGGACGTGGACGTGGTCGCGCTGACCGTGCTGTGCCTCAATTAGTGCCGCGTTGTATCTGTGCCACGCGCCTGACTTGCTTCTGACTGCATTTCTGCGGTCCTTGATTAAAATTCCAGTGACGTGTTGCTCCTGCAAAAATAGAGAGAAAAAAGGGGAAAGCTTTAGCTGCATGTTGGAAAAGTTGGTTGCATTCTAAGCCATCGATTGAATGGGATTGAAACCCCTGAAAGGTTCATTCCTCTCTCGCTGTGTCCTCGTTATACCTTTGCAAATGAGCCAGAACTAAAGTTCCTCCCAAGTTGATTAGCGTTTTCCCCTCAACCAGCTCTCTCCACAAAGTATTGCCTCAGCCATTGTCTGTCTGCCGCTGACCGATTACGAACCTTTGCCCAAAAGGTCAGGCTTCCCATTCATTCGACCGTTCCATTCATTCAAACATTCATTCATTCATTCATCGAGTCCAGTCCAGTCGGAGTCGTCTCTCTTCATTCAGGGTTTCATCCTCATCCTCAACCCCAAACCCCCTCTCCGCTGTCTGCTTTTGTTTGCCTATTTTTGGGCTGGCCATTGTGTTGCTTTGGTTTCCCCTTGTAGTTTTTTCTTTTTTTTTGTATCTCGGGGAAGGTCCAACCCAAAACTCTTTGCTTTCCTCTACGCTAATTTGCCGCTCGTGTATTTTTTTCAATTTTCAATTAGCTGCCAGCGAACTTTCGACCCGAAGCCAAAGACCAAAAAGGCCTTTAAATAGACACGACATCCGGTGCAGGGAGAACAATACGAATACGACTAAGAGTACTCGTCTTTGTGCTAAAATTAGGCATAAAGCCACACAAATTTGAGCGGGAAATGGTGAGTTAAATGGGGAAGAAGACTGCAAAGATCTTTGCCGAATGAAATATGTTTTTGAGTGCTGAATATACGGTTTCCTTTATAGTTGTTTTATGCATACAGATATGAACCATCAATCCTCAAAATGTTGATAGAGTTTTAAACATTTTTACAGCTGGAATACTGCAGAGAATTGTGTGCAATGAAAGGTAATTGAAATATATTGAAAATTATTTTTGTAGTAGAATTTTGTTCAGAAATGTTTCTTATCGATTGAAGTATCTTTGTGGATCTACTTTGATTTAGAAAAATTAATCTTAGATTGAATTGATTAATAAAGAAGCGACAGGTTTAAGGTTTCTATCATATCAGCAATAAATTCCAACTAAATTACATTCCAAAACTCATCTAAACATCCACCCTTCTGCACTCCCAATACCTTTCTTTCCCTCAGTGTAGCCACCTTTATGGCAGCAGTCACACTCGCTCGAGTGGCTTTCCCACCGCTCTGTCTGTGGCACTACGAGTGGTTCCTGCAGCCAGTCGTACAAGTTGTAATCCACTTAGGACCACTAAGATGACAGCTTCAGCCACTCAAACGAAGCGCTCGGATATGCATATGTAGAAACACAGATGCTTAGATGCAAATAGTGGTAGGGGGAGAGAGGTGCAGAGGGACACGTGACAGCAGCACTAATTCTTTGATAATTTCTTTTTGGCCATGTCATAACCAATTCGGTGAAACTCCTGAAGGCCAAAACCAAAAACACAGCCAGCCAGGCCCGGGCGGCCACACAATGGGAAAATGTAAGACAAAAGTTTTAGTCAGCCAAGGCAAGAGGCATGCCACAGAGCTACCCCACCCACACACGCACACACACGCACACTCGCATGAATGCAAAAAGTTTTACCCGCCCGAAAGGAAGTCATTTGTTTGTGCTGTTGCTTTTTTGGTAAACAGAATTGAGTTTACGAAAATTTATTTAGCCATTTTCCATGGCATTTTCTATTTGTTGTTTGCTATTTTCTCTTGGCTATTTTCTATTTGCCCATTTTGTAGTAGTACTTAAAGTGGTGCTTGCAGTTTTTCGACGATGTTTTTGGGAGCACTAAAGGTAGCAGCGGCGCATAAAATTGCCATAAGTGGAAGCTATGAAAATATCACAATTTATGCTCTTAAAAAGTGCAGCCATTAATATTGCAGCACTTTATCAAGACTTTCAACAATTCTTTATACGAGAAAACATGATTAATTCCCAAGAGAAATCAATAAAATAAAATTCAAGACGTTTTTCCATTAATTTCTTTTGAAACTCTCATGAATAAAAAATAAGAAAATTAAATTGTTAATAATTTGCAGAGATACAAATGTCAGCCTTAGTATTGGAGCTTTTTATGTTGCATTCCAACATATTTGAAACAGGAATAAACAAAACAATCATTTATATTTCTTTATCCACTAAATTTGCTTCAAGCTCGCAGGATAAATCGCATGAAAAATGCACGAAAAATCTACCCATAAAATCCTAATCTTAATTTTTCAAGAGCATCAACAGCTGCGACCTAAACGCTCATGTACGCTGCCTCTGTTTGCTTTTCTGCTTTTCTGCTTTGGCGTTTTCCATTTTTCACATTTCCAAATTGAGTTTTGTACAATCATAAATTTCCCACAGCCAAAAGGGGAAGTAATTAAGCAATTTCATTTCTGTCTGTTTGTTTGTTGCTCTGTGGAAAACGGATCTCGATTCAATATCGCAAAATTGTTATCGCATTATGGCGCTGCCTCCCCGGCCCCCTCCCTTCCGACCGACTGAAAATTGGCTTCGATTTTCCTGATTTCCATTGGCTGTGTGTTGTCTGCTTTTCTGACGCTTTTCTTTCTGCTTTTTATTTTGCAAATCGTTTTAAGTGTTTTATGGCAAAACAGGGAACAAATTTATTGCAGGCAATTTGCAGATGTTAGCCCCACAAGGGAAAGGGAAAGGGAAATGGGGATGGGCTCTGGAGTTACGCAACGGAAATCACAGCAACAACAACAACAGCAAACAGATTTTCAAGTGACTTTTCCCTTGGTCCTGGAGACTCTCTCTCCATGAATCATGCATGCGACAAAAGCAGCAAAAAAAACATTACAAAAAGTGCCCTGCCTCTTGCCCTACATTTTCGAGGGGGGGCACGGGACCTGGGTATGGGGCATAAATCAAGGCGCCCGTCAAAATATGTTTTCCCTGCCAGCGAACTCAAAGGTTAACCCTTGATATACGACCATCCATAGTGACAGCAGCCAGCGATGGCAATTGATGGCGAGATGCCTATCCGGCAGTTGGAAACTTCATCAGCGGCAAAAAGGTAATCAAAAAGGTTACCACGTGGAAGCTGTGTGTCCATGGAAAACTCTTGGCTGATAATTCTTATAATAATTAGAAAATCGATTAAAGAACTCGTAAATATTTGTATTTTTATCTTTCAGTCAGTCCCTCTGGATACTTCAGTTAGGGGTTCCCACAATCAACGCGCTTTGGGCTCCTTTTTTTGGTGGAAATTAATCTTTGAAATAAGTTTCTTTACTCAGATTAAATCCCCGCTTGGTTGATTTTTTTGATGTACAACGTTTGGCCATTCCATGCCTATTTATTATTTATATTTCGAAGTATTTGTGTAACAACTAAATCATAGAAAACACAGGGACACACATTCTCCAGCAACTCTCCAGGAAGTGTCTCCCGCCTCCACCCCTCCTTGCGGCCACCTGCATCTCTTAAGTGTCCATTTAGCTGCTGGGAGGCCAACAACTTTCTAGTCAAAATGAATTGTGGCATTCCATGCCATTCCACAGCAATGACAAAGCTTTCTTGGCAGGCTTCTACTTTGGCTAGAACTTTCTTCAGGGGCAAGTGCGGAAGTGGCTTGTCAAATGGCAATCTTGCCACACACACACACACACACACTACGATACACACACACACACATCTACACAAACATGATAATCAAATCAAGGCGCCAGCTATTTGGTTAATGTGCATGACAGCATCGCTCGCTCGCTCGCTCGCTCGCTGGCTGCCCCACAGCCTGACTGCCTGCCACAAAGTCGTTGCCGTGGGCTGGTGGGGGGAAAGTTAAAATGTTTAAAAGTGAAGCAGGTGAGACCCCAAAGATAAGGCGGTGTCAGGTGGCAGACAGACAGACAGACAGCGACAGAAAGCCAAAGAGGCGGCAAAAATCTCTCTCTCACTCTGTGTGTAGCATGCTTTTAGGAGGCCTGAAGGAGGGGCAGACTCCACTCCACGCGCTTAAATTGCAGCTGCGAGAGAGCCCCTCTGGCTTCTGGTTGCCAAGGCAGCCTTATGTGTATGCGAGTGACTGTACTGTGACTATAATTTCATTTGTGGCACATAAAACTTTCTCAGGCTTCATCTCTCTCTCTCACTCTCACTCTCACTCCCACTCTCGCTCTCTGAGGAGGCAGAAAGATGGAATCACATTAAACTAATTGCTTTAGCTTGTCATTTTGTTGCTGTTGTTGTTGTTGTATTCCCATTGTTGTAAATGTTTCATGTTGTATTTTGTTGCTAAAATGCCCATTGTTGTAATTGTTTTTGTTGCTGGCTGCTGGTTGCTGGCTTCTGGTTGAGTGTTTGATTGTTAGTGCTTTTAGGCAGTGGCAGAGGCAAATTATATTTTCTGCTGTATGTGCAAAATGCTTTTTTCTTCTCCCCACCCCAACCCACCCCACCCAACACACAGAAGCTATTAAAAATTGAAAAGGCCACCCACATACCGTGTCTCCCTACTCTGCTGTTTGACAGGAAGTGCCTTGCGTTTTTGTCCTTAACCTGAGAGAAGAGAAAACAGCAAAGAAAACACCCAAAAACTCTGGCCTCAAACTTTAAGGATGCCACTGTCGACCACAAAGCGTTTTGCAGCGTCGCTTTTTTGACAAGAAAAAAAGAGCACAAAAATACTAAGAGGAAGCTGTAAGCACATGGAATGCTTTACCAATATATTGCAATAATTTGCACTGCAGAACTTGCTTCTGCAGCAGAAAGGGTTTTTTTTACCGACGGCATCGTGTCACATTCACTTCACACATCACACACGAAATTTGTTGAAATTGAATTTATCGATCCAAAAATTCGCGGAAATGGCACGACGTCCCTGATGCAATCGAATTATTTTGCACATCGAAAAAAATAGGGTTTTTTTTTTGCGCACACGATAAAAACATTGAATTTTTGTTTGTGTTTTTTTTTCCGAAACAAATATTTTTTGTAGTTTACCTTTTCTTGTAATCTTTTGTGAGG